AAGAGACACGGGGGAGGCGAGGGGGATAGGAGGAGGAGGAGGAAGCGCGCCGAGGGTAGGATTTTCTCTCCTCCTCACCCTCGTCGGTTTTACCCTTTCTCTCTTCGTCGCACGCGTATACCCTCTCCCTCGCGTCGCACCGGGGGGCCCCGGCAGTAGTCCTACCCCTCGCGCTGACCCCATCCCCCTTCTCCCCGCCGCCCCATTCGCTGCCGCGAATCGATTTGTTATTGTTTTTGTGTCTGCGGTCGTCGCGGCGGATGGAGTGAGCGGGGTTATATCAGGGGAGGCGAGCGGGAGGATGGTGAGTGGGGTGGGATTGCCGGTGGTGCTGCTGCTGCTGCTGCTGCTGGTGCGGCTGATGCTGGTGCTGCTGGTGATGGTAGTAGTAATGGTGGTGGTGGTGGTGGTTCGAAGGCTCGGCTTCGGTTTTCGGGCCGGCAGAGAGGCGACCAGGGTGAATAAGCTGGCTGCTGGAGGACGGGGGAGGGCGGGAGTCGCGAAGGATCGTGAAAGAAAGGAGACAGGGGGCAGGGGGGAGAGAGAAAAGAGATAGATACACGATTCCGATCAGTGGCGTAGTCGGCGTAGAACGCGAAAGACTCGAAAAAATATCTCAGTTTCTTCCCTTTTCCCGATTCGTGCATACACATGCGCTTCTTGAAACCTTACCGCTTCTAAACCCCTCCCTCTCCCTTACAGACATCTACGTAAAATTTTTGTCGTTTAACGGGTTGAGTGACGAGAACTGATATTCGTCGTGAGCGCGATATAATCTCATCGAATGGATAATGGAGTCTGTTCGCGGAAAAAGGGTTGATCACGCCATTGGCATCGCTGCTGAAAAGAGCGAGAGAAAACGAGAGAGTTGAGGATGGAAGCTAGCACAATGACGAAGAGGAAACGAACGCGGCTAGGGTGCGGGGGAGGGGAGAAAATCCCCGCGAGGGCACGGGCAAGGAAGAAGGGTGGAGGGGGGAGGGCAATCGCATGGGTTAAGCCGAGAGGGGATGTTACGCGAAGACGAATGCGGGAGGGAGAGGGTAGCGCGGATCGGATTGCGTCCTCGGATTGCATTGAGGGTGGTCGAGAGAGAGATAGTCGAGCAGAGGAAGAGAGAGAGAGAGAGAGAGCGAACGAAGGGTATAGGAGGATAAAGGGAGAGAGAGGCAAAAGAGCAAGAAAGAGAGAGACAAGAAAAGCCTGAGCAGGGGGGAAGGGAGGGACACGTCGGCATCGGCTTGACAGGTGACAACCGATCGGGCCACTGACGTCACAGATCACTCGGCCGAGCACGCGCACGCACAGACTACGCGACTCGCGACGTGCATGAGGTCGGACCGTGTATCACACTCGCGTACAACCACCGTGCACATCCTATCGACACACACGTCATCGTAACACGGCACTCCACGCCGCGCGAAAGAAAAACAAAAAAAAAAAAAAGAGGAAAAGAGATTCCGCGCTGGTGGATCGTAAATGCAAGCGGGGATGCAGACGCACGCAAACGGCGTGAGAAAGAAAAAGCGTAGCGGAAATCGAGCGTGACGTTATTAGAGAGGGAGGAGATGGAGAAAATGACGAGTGCGAGAGATGGATCCGCGAGAATTTTTCGCGCCGCTATATATATATAAATTCCGGCTCTGTAAATATACTTGGGATATATAGCGTGGTATTTACCGGGTTTTAACACCGGCCGATATAGCCCCCGCGCGCGGCGCCTCTCTATCTGGTTACCATTACACTCGGATGTATGAAATGCGCCACGGGCATACAACCATCCCCCCACAATAGCCCTATTTATGATTGGGCAAAATTGCTTTCCATGCGCAGAATAAAATCTCGCGCGCGGGTCCGGGAAAAATCCGCGGGGCGCCGCGGACGTACCGTCGCGATGCGCCGTCGCTTTTCCCGAGCGGCGGCGTCGCGTTTCTCTCCCGGACGGGACCATGATCGGGAAAATGGGGCTCGAGTCTCTCTCGAGCCTGCACGATCACCCTACCTTCGTACACGCATGGCGTAGGCGCGCCGTTTTCCGTCCAATTTTTCACGCGATTCCGCGCCACCGAGATTTGCGAGAAATTAAATATCGTCTATCGCGCTCGCGCGCCCAGGCGGCGCTGCGATCGCCGCCGACTCGGCCAATCGCCGCTCGACCTATCTACGTAGTTCTAAAAAACCCCGTCTTAAACGACAGCGCGATGCAACATCAATATATTGTCGCTAAAATATGATGATTAATATACACGTTATTCCGAAGCTTCAGTCGATTTAGTTCTGCGTTTCCACCTATATTTTCTGTATTTCCTTGTGTTCGAGTTTAATTTAGCTCATGGAGTTTTATTATAAAAATTGTCAAATGGATTTTACACACATTCTTTTGTGTATTAATTACAGAGACTCATCTCACTTTACGTGCAATATTGATTTTAATTTTAAATGACAATCAATGGAGAAAAAATGTACTCTGAAATGATAGTTGACAATAGTTTTATGAAATGCATTTGATCATGCACTGTATTGCATTGCTAAATTAAATGACAAATTAGATAATGTGCAATATATTTTTTGATACAATTTTCTTAATTACATGCTTATTATATTATATCATTGTTATAATTATATCTAATGCAATCTGATCTCTCGTTTTTTTATTCCATAAAAATATATTTTAGGATACATCAGAATTAATAAACATTTCTATTTTCGAAGTCAATTGCAATTGGAAGAAACAAGAGAAAATCTTTTTCGAATACCTTAATTTGGAGAGATATTTTCAACGCCATAATATGCGCTTTCATATCCTCATTATTCACTCGCCATATTGCAATTTTGACATAACACGGGATTATCGACGGAATATATATCGTTTGTAATCGCACTCGTACTTACATTTGTGAATTTCATGCGCGCGCGCCTGGAATTTATCCGCGTTCCGATTATCACTACGAACGCTTCGAATCTGTCCAACCGGAGCAAAGATATTTTGCTCTTCTTACTCTGATTGGCCAATTGTACGAGTTGAAATATTCGAAAACGTCAAGTGGAGCGCAGTTCTATGACAATTGTGTACAAATGTGTACCGAAGGAACATTCGATTTGGGAACCAGGTGGTCGCGGTCAAGTTGGCAATCGTGCGCGTGCGCGTCCGCGCCGATCCAACGCGCATCATGGCGGCGCATCTAGCGGAGAGTCAGACGGAGCCAGTTGGTAACAGACCTTCGAGCGGGTCGGACGCGTTCGAATCGGCGGTCCCGTTCTGTCCCCGTGTTCGCTCGTGCGTTTCCCGTTTTGATCGCGTCTCGGACGCGATTAGCGTCACATCGGTGCGAGTTTCGTGTTCGGCGGTCCCGTTCTGTCCCCGTGTTCGCTCGTGCGTTTCCCGTTTCGATCGCGTCTCATCGGTGCGAGTTTCGTGTCTCCCGACGAGGAACGGCGAGTGCCATCGTCGTTGTCATCATCCGTGCGACGTCGCGCCGACGACGATCAGCTGCCATGGGGCTCGTCGACGGGATTATTTGACCCACGGGAACGACTCCAGGCTCGTCGGTGGGATCGTGAG